ATATATAATTTGCATTTGTTACTCAGCTCTTTTTCCATCATATCTGATTCTTCATGATTCCATTTTCTTGGCAAATATACTTAAGTGGTTTGTCATATTCTTCTCCAGCTTATTTTACAGATGAAGAAACTGAGACAAACAGGGTTAAGTGACTTGCCCACGGTCATACAGTTAGGCTGTGTCTAAGACCAGATTTGAACTCAGGTCTTCTTGATTCCAGGCCTAGTACTCTATCTACTCACTGTGCCACCTAGCTACACACATATGTACACACACACACACACACACATGAATGTGTGTGCATAGACACATGTACTCATATATACATATATACACCTATGTATTTCTATGTATATATGTAGCTATATATTTGTGTGTGTGTGTGTGTGTGTGTGTGTGTGTGTGTGTGTGTGTGTGTGTGTGTGTGTGTGTAGGCACTTTGGCATAGTGGATTGACAACTAGCCTTCAAATCAGAAAGACTAGCCTCAGTTGTTGCCTCTGACACTCCTGGGCAATTTACTTAACCTCTCAGTGCCCCCTAAGCATTCTTTAAGATGCAAATCTGCATTGGTAGAGAGGATTTCCTCACCAGGTGTTCAGGACATTAATGAAATCACAGGTTTGACCAGATGTGCTCACACACAAACACTCAATGCTCTCTTGCACATATCTGGGCTCTGCCATTTATCCTGTAACCTTAGGGATTTATTTCATGTTTGGGGATCTCAGTTTCTTCATCTCTAAAATGAAAGTATTGGCTTAGATGACCTTTAAGTTCCCTTCTAGTTACAAATTAATGATTTCACACAAATGCATGAAATTATGCATACACATTTACACATACCTATAATATACATAAATGTATATACATACACACATATGTGTATATATCTATATATCTATGACTTTATCAATATCTATCTACCTATTTAGAGAGATAGGTAGGTATATAGATAGATAGATAGACAGACAGACACATACATACATAGGCAAGACCTCATAATCTGGAACCTATGTTATTGTGATAAAGCAAAAGCATAATAAAAGAGTCATTTATGTAGCATTTGAAGGCTTGCAAAATGCTTTACATAAATTATCTCATTTGACTCCTACAACAGCTCAGTGACCTAGCTACTAAAGTCACTTACCCATTTTCATACAAATAGTAATTATTAGAGTTTATCCTGTCTCCAAGTCGTATTTCCTAGCCTGCTCCACCATTGGGCCTACTAACACAGGCAGGGTGCAGGTAGAAGGGTTTGGGTTTCAGGAAGGAGAGAATGTCAGAGATGGTTGGAGACTTAAAATTATCTACATCTTTGGGATTCTAGTTTTGCTATTTGCTAGCTAAGTGATGTTGAGTTGCTCTAAAATTTCATTACTAGCTTCCTAATTTAGGAATCCAAAAATTTGCACCTTACAAGGTTGTTAAAAAGGAAAATGCTGAGTAAATTTTGAAATGCTAAGGAAATATAAGATGATTTGATTGAAGATGTCATATTTAATTACTATTCTTAAGAACATGACTCATTTTTAGAATCTCTTTCCCTGAGAACTTCAAATGATTTAAAATCAGTTGTCTGATGATTCAAGGAAGGCAGGCCTATTGACACCACCAACCATTGTGCAATTTAACCAAAGTCATTGGACAAAATATTGCACTCACTTTATTCCATTAGATTTTAAGCTCCTAGAGGTAGGAGACTTTCGCCTCTGTGTATCCCCAGAACTTAGCACAGTGCTTGGCATATAGTAGGTGCTTAATAAATGTTTATTGATTGGTTGCTTGATTTTATTATAAATTTCAATGAGAAACAAAGAGATCCTAGTTTTCATTTCCTTAGCACCAATGGTAGGGGAAATCCATTCAAAACACTATTATCTCTAAAGAGGCCTGCAAAAAATGCTCCTGCAAAAATATAGAGGTCTACTTTACCTACCTTTCCAATTACAATTAGCTGCCCTTGCTGGAAGAGGTTCAGGTAGATGGTCATTGAGTGGGATACAAACAAAGAAAAAAAAGCTGCTATTGTCATCACTGTTTCTTTAAAGAGGTCCCCAGTATTTAGTGGAAATGATCTGAAGTGCAGAGTATCACATACTTTATTCAGTCACTTCTGAGTATCAATAATTATGGTTTTGTGACCTTAGCAACGTGATTATCTCTCAGCTTCGTATGTATGTTCCTTCCATTAAGCCACAAATCTAAGAAACCGTGGCTGGGCCTGGATTTCAGATATGCACATAACTTAGGGAATGAAAGTGGAAAATTAGTGTTTTAGGAAGATTTAAATTAGAAGGCTGACTTTCCAAAGACATGTTATATCTCTTCCGGTATTACACTTATATAGATATTCATGTGGGGAGGGGCAGGAAAAGGAGAGAAAGGCAGAGAGGGTCAGAGAAAAATCACTGGTACTGGTATTGTATGTGTATATCACATAAGAAATTTATAGTTTTTATCTCTACTAACCAGTCTAACCATCCATTTTTTTGTATTATCCAGAAGGCTGTTTGCATTTCTTTTTCACCCCTTGAACCTGCTTCATTGGTCATTTTCTTTCCTGTAAGCAACCAACCACGGCTAGAATGTGGGTAAGGGAAATGAAGGATGTTTTGTGTGCTATGTATCTGATGGTGAAAAGGCTAAAGCTACTAGTTGGAATGAGCTTTATGTATTAGCTGTGGGTTTCAGTTAACCACCTGTCTGTCATTTCAACATGTATGTGAATAACTAATAGCATCTCCCGGGTCATTGTTTATAAACTTATCTTCCTGAAAACAGAAATACTGTTAGCAGGGGTTATCATAAATAATTGTTTATGGAAGGGAAGATGAGATTATTGGTTTAAGTGATGACAGGTTAATCACGTCAGTTTATTCAGTAGCCCTCAAAATTTGTGAAAAGAAGTGTGGAGGCAGTGATTTGGTAATTATTCAGAACCAAAATTTTAAACTAAAAAGAGAAGGTTCAGCCAACCAGAAGGATTATCTTTCCTCCATCTCTCTGCATCTCTCTCTATCAGTTTCTGTCTCTGTCTTGTCTAGGCTCCTATGATTGCTCCAGGTGGCAGCAAATTAGCTACAGTACTGGAAGCTCTGAATTAGACAGAAGAGTTATGTGGGAGGCCAAGGAAAGCAGGTGGAATCACTTACTTCCTCGATGAAAGCACAACCTCCAAAGGGAGCATGACTACGGTGACACATTAAGGAGTGAATCCTGATCAGACTGCAACTATAGTGTTAACTTTCAGGGAGATTTTAAAACCAACATTGACAAGTGGAGGGCATTAGAAGGAAAATGATGAGGATGCAAAACACAAAATGAAATGTTACAGATGATCTGATTAAAGAATGAAGGATGAAATCTAGAAGTCTGAGTGGGGGGACATGATTGCAATCTTCACATATTTCAAATATTTGAAGGATTGTTGCTTAACTAGTTTTACCTGACCACAGAATATAGAACTTAGAGTAGAGAAAGTTACTGAGAGACAGATTTTGACCAGATCTAATTGGGGGAAAAATCCTTACAAAGTCGTAAAAAATCAATGGAACTGGTTGCTTTGAAAGCCAGCAAGTTCCCAGGCACTGAAGGGTTTCAAGTGGTATCTCAATGGCCCCTTGTTGTGGCCATTAGAGGCCATTCTTGCTCTGGTATGAACTGACCTAATTTACCAGTAAGGTTCCTTCCTACTCTGTGGATGACTCACCAGCATTCAAACACTCCAAATCACTTCCCTTGGCTTCCGCACCTTATTTAAATAAAATAGTTTGCAGAATGTAGGGAGATTCATTCATGGTTTTTTTTTCTGTGTCTTTGAATTTTTTTCTTGCTACAATAACAATAATAATAGTAATTCACATTTTTATAGCACAATACATTTTATAAAGCACTTTCCTCACAACAACCCTGTGAGGTAGGCAGTGCAAGTTGTATTGTCCCCATTTTACACAAGAGGACAATGAAGGCTCTGAGAGGTGAATCAGTTTGTTCAAAGTCACATAACAAGTACTTGCTATGAGCAAGGACTATAATACAGCTCTTCAGACTCTTGTCTATTGTTCTTTCTACTCAGACATGCTGTCCACCTATCGCATACATAAATGACCAAGGTAAAAAGCTTTTACCCCAGGTGCTTGTCAATGGCGTTTTGAAGGCACACCTTTCAACAGGCATGCATATTAGTCCCAAAGGACTAGAATATTAAAGGAGTGTACATAGGTAACAGGAAAAAGGCTTGAGAGATAGTAGTTTCTGATGGAACCAGACTGGCCCAATTAAGTGTTTGAACAAAACACTGACTGTCCACAGGCCTCTTTCCTAACATCAAGTAAGAGAATAAAGGATGGATAGAGACACCAAGCAATCCATCAATGATTAGAGACAGTGTTTTCTTTACATAGTCTATTAGACTTGTTTATTATTATTATTATTATTATTATTATTATTATTATTTTTGCGCTGGTAAAAAGACTTTTTTTTTAAAGATTGGTGTTGAAGAAAGAGTTATTTGTGCTTGATACATTAAGATATTGTTCAAAGTCAGTTTGTCCTTGTAAAAGGATAACCCTTGTAGTAATTCTTAGGCAAGGAGGGACAAATCCAGCAAACATAAAAGCATATCTCTCCCCAATTCCCCCATGATTTCTCAACATCTAGAAAGAAAAAATTACATCAACAATTGCTTTGCACATGCACATCTTCTAGTCATACAGTGAGTGAGCAGCCCGCTTCTCAGGTTGCTCATCAAGAAACAGAAGGGAGAATACCACCATTGCCTAAATAATAATTTTTTTTTAAAAGGTGAATTACACCCATTTTTTTCAATTGATGTAAAACACTGATAAGAAGAGCAATTAAAATAGAGTTCTGAATAGTTCTAGCTAATGTAGATTATATGAGTATACAGCATGATTCAACTAATAGGGCTTTGACAAGCATCACCCACAAGTTCCAGCAAACAAGGCCCAATCCAATTGCTCAGAAAAGGTTAGATCCAGATTTAATAAAACAGTTATTTTTATTTCAGTACTGAAAGCAAAACACAAGTCAAGTGTAAAGACAGTGTTCTTTAAAAAAAAAAAGTGGCTAGATTAAATCAAGGAGGCCATGTCCTTTGCAGCTTTATAATTCCGGAATCTTATTTCTAACTCTCACTTTCTCATCCTTTCCTCCCCTGAGCACTAATTTCTCAATAAAAGTTTCAAGGTGCAATTTGTACATTCTTGTCATTATGCTGCCTCATCTCTTTCTGGAAGAAAGCATTACAATCAGCATTACAATGTTGAGTCTCTCAGTCAATACTTGGTTCACATACATGTAATCCAAAATGATAACGGTGAGGGGGGATAATTGACCTAAAATGAGATAGCGTGTAAGCATACATTTCCTATTGTGCTCTGTGTCTTTCCCATCCCTTCTCCCTTTTCCCTGTATTGAGCTGTAAAAAATTTAAGGCAGATGAGGTATATTGCTGAAGAAAAAAGTCATTTCCGAAAAAAACAAACCCAACACTTTTATTCTGCCCTTCTACTCAAGAAAGATTACTCAGCTATAAATCTAGTGCTAGAAAAAAGCAGGAAAGACACAATTTGCATGTACCATATGCTATATCTCCTAGGTCTAGAATGGCTTTTTTGTTAATTTGATTTCTAATAGAAAAAATAAGCACCTTAAGCTATGAACAAGAAAAGAACCCCATTATTAGTGAGTTTAAAAGCTAAACTGTACTAATAGCACTCACTCAGTCTCTTTCACTCACTCTCTCAAAGGCCAATGCTACTGATTAGAATTGTAAAGTGCTGTACTTAGTATAAACACTGAAATACACTGCCGACACTGAAAAATAACCCTCGAGCACATGGTGTTATAGTTCCAAAAATATATTTACAGTCTATTACAAAGATTACAAATGGAAGTGTCTATGGAATGGGATTATGCTAATTCAAAGCATTTTTTTTACATTTTTTTTTCTTAAGGGACAAAAGAAAACAGTTTAGTGAAATTATATTGACTGTTTTTCTAGTTGATCAAACACAAAATAAATAAACTGTCAAATAACACTGTACAGTGATCTAAAAGAAAAAGTAAAAAGGGGGAACTAGAAGGTCATGGGGAGGGGAGGGAGCAATCCATTTGAATTTTTCTGTAGCCATCTTTGGTCCTAAATGTGGGAAAACACATTATGTAGCACTGAAAATACCTGTTCTTTTGTGATGCTCTGCAAGTAAAATAGAAAAATATAGTGCATTTTCAATGTATTCAGAGCTCACTACAGAGAAATATGTATACAAAACAAGACAGTATAAATAAAATTTACAAGTTTTACAAAGGAACATTTACAGTTTTTGTGTGGATGCCCACATTATCAAACAAGACCAATTTATGACAGATCCCTGGGATCTTTTCTCTATTAAAATCAATATAAACAGCCCAATTCTCTTTGGAAATACAACAGTTCTCTTCTGGGGTAGTTCATGATTTTCCTGACTTTTGAAAGCCTCACTTTCACTTTTTTTATACATTCTTGCAATATCTATAAAGACACATTTGATTATTGCTTATGATATTTTAACAACGTTGTCAAATCATATACTTCAATAAATAAAGCTTAAAAAAAAAGCCAGGCCCTTCCCACTCTTTCGCACAATGTGAAAGAGTTCTTTCTTTCAAAATAAAATCTTTCTGCCTCAATGTTCCCAAAGGAAAGACTTTCCACTGCAGCGATGGGGTTCTGAGCAGCAAATTTGTTCTAAAAAAGGAGAAAATTGTGAACTGCCCCTTTCATCATGCTCCCAAGTTCTAATATAAAATCTAATTCTGTAAGCTCACATTTGGACTGCATTCAACTGAATCAGATATAAAATATATGCCAACTATTTCTCTTAAATTTCCTAATGTTCAGATATTGAAAAATCTTGATGTGCTCAGATCAAATTTTAGGTAACACTGGATAACTTCCTGCTCTGAGACATGTCTCCATACACGGTTATTACAGGAAGTGCTTCATCCTTTTTTTTTCCTTTTTTTTCCCCTTTTTGTTTAAAGTTGTGGATCTACAATTTGAGCTTCCTTATTAAATTATGTCTAGTAAAATCATCCTACAAATAATTTTTTTAAAAGTGCCTTATACTATTTAGGGGTCATTATTGCTTTTAAATTTTCATTGAAAAGATAGTGTCTGATCTTTACAAAAAAGTATTCTAAAAATATCAGAGCTCTTGGCAACTTGCATTTTCTTGATGACCTGCCAATTAGCAAACCATGTCAGAACAGCACTGATTTAACAGAAGAAAACGGCACAGAAAAGATACCAATGTTCCGACGGAAATACATTTTCAATCATGCTTTCTATGTTTCTAACGACTTGAGATTCCTTCAAAGGTACCCAGTGTAGTAATGTGTCACAGAATTAACACTAAAAAGGTCCAAAGCTATAAACAACTTACTAAAACAAAGTCCTTATGAAGAATAAACACAAATGATTTAAAAAAAAAGATTCTGAAATCACATATTTAAGGAAAATATTTTGAATTTAACAATAAGATCATGATTTTATTTGACAAATATATTCTTTCTTAAATTTTTATGTACATTTTAAAAAGTCTATAAGATAAAAAGGAGGTTAGAGAGCTCAAGGTGTTTGGATGGTTTTTTTTTTTCAGGTAGTACTTTGTTTATTGTCACTGCTGTTTTCCTGGCCACCAGTGGTGGATCCGTATTCCCTTTTTGTGAATTCTGGTGGCACTTAGGAGTTCAAGTTTTTAGGTGCTTCTTGTAGATCTGTTTACTGCAGGAAGGAACCAGCAAATCAAGTGTCTTCTAGCAGCACTCCACGCCTATAATGAAGGCCAGTACTGTTCTCTCACAGTCTGTCACCTCCCTCATAAGGGAGAAATTTTGTCTATCACACTTGGATGCCAGTGCCATGTAAATGTAGCATTTGTGCTCTCATAGTCTGAATGCTGCTCATGATTTTCTTTTGATGACCAACCAATGTGATCCCTAAACTCATCACATCCCTGGGGAAGAGAAAGACATTTTCAATTAGTTACCTTACATTGTAGTTAAGTGGTGTTTTATTACTATCAACCCCTTTGTTAAGTAATCTTTTGATCTTAGCTGCCAGTCACTATATTCATATTATAACAATGAGCCAGCTTAGTGGCCTAAAGTTATGATCAATTTTGTAAAAACAACAACAACAAAAAAAACCTTACTGCTCAGACACTCAATTTACAATTATGTAGAATGATTTTGGTCTTACTGGTCTGACCTTTGATAACTGAATTTATAAGCAGACTGAAAAATTATTATGCTGAAGAGAAGCTTGTAAATGTTATTTCTATATTTGGTAGCCTTGAATCTATGTAGATCATAGCATCATAGATTTAGAGCTGAAAAAGACCCTAGGGATCATCTAGAACAATCCCTTCATTTTAAAGAACCCAGAGTGATTAAGTAATCATTCAAGCTAGCCCATGGGTTGTAAGTAGCAGACCCAGATTCTGAACTTATATCTGCCGGCTCCAAACACAGTACGGTTTCCACTGTGTCACATGGAAAGGAGTGGGAAGGCTCACAGCATCATGAAATGTAGAATATGAGGAGAACTTAGATTCTATTAGATATCTAATGAAACCTCATCATTTTATGCATTATTAAAATTTTATTTATTTCATTTTTAGGATACTAAGACCCAGATGCCTTAAGTATGAGGATATACAAGTGAGTGTGAATTTGAAACCAGGTTCTCTGGTACCAAACCAATTACTTATTCTATCACAATGCATCCCTTAACTAGTAGTAGAAGCAGAATTCAGAAGTAACTGAATACACACACACACACACACACACACACACACGTATATTATTTTATATAAGTTTTACCTAGTTCAATATTTATGAAGTGCTTATTGAAGACACCATTACTCAAAAATTTTCTTTAATTCAGTAAATTTTAATGACTGTATGCCATAAAATTCATGACAAGAGTACTGGTCAGGTGTATTGCTATATCTATCTATCTATCTATCTATCTATCTATCTATCTATCTATCTATCTATCTATCTCTATCTATCTAGGTGTATAGCAATAATGAATTCCTCACAGACATGTAGTTGAAACTTGTTTTGTTTTACCCCCTTTTCTTTGACCTTTCTGCTCAAAATAGATGTTAGAAGTTGGATGGCATGCATTATTCAGCACAGAGACCCCTAAAGTCTGAATACAACATGGCAGTGAAGTGCTCCCTAGCTGTTGCGCAGTGGGATTCTGATAATTCTTCTGGTTTGTGGGCATAGTACATATGCGAGAACCTCCAACCTCACTTCTGTGACCAGCAGAGGCAGAATCAAGAAATACTTATGCCGTCAAAAAGATAAAACAGTCTATATTTCCCGATCAGTGACATCAGGTATATGTCTTTTGGGTCTGTCTCATTTTGATTCTAATCCTATGGGCATCTTCCCTTGAGTACAGAATATATCCTTCATAGGACTGTTGGGCTACCAAAACAATGAATCATATCTGACATATTCATATACTTTTAAAAACTGTGTTTATATGCCATATTTCATTATAACCTTGCAGCATTATTTTGAGGTTAATGGGCTCAGAACTGATTTTCTCATTTTAGATACAATAAATTAAGGCCCAGAGGTTAAATGAATTTCTAAAGGCCGTGTGAAAAAGTAGCAAAAAAGCTGGTATTTTGACAATCCAGATGTCAGGTAATTAGGTGGTACAGTGGATGCAATGTGGGACCTGGAGTCAAGAAAACTTGAGTTCAAATTTCAGCTTCAGATACTAGCTGTGTAATCCTAGGCAAGTCACCTAATTTCTGCTTGCCTCTATTTCCTCATCTACAAAATAAGGGCATCTACTTCCCAGGGATGTTGTGATGATAAACTGAAAAAAACCAAACAAACTGTAAACTGCATTGCGAACCATAAAGAACTATATAAATAACAGTTTTACTACTACTCCTGCTGTTACTACTGCTGCTGCTGATTCAGTTCACAGTTACATAAAAAAAAAACATTTAAGGCAAAGTGTTGAACCAGAAATTTCAAGCAAATCAACCAAAAAATTAATTGGGTTAAGTAGGTAACAAGTTCATAGAGTTACACTTCCCTAGTTGAACTCAAGAAGTCACTGAAATGTATGCCTCAGTGTACCTTGGTCATGGTATGTTGAGACCTCATGCCCAATAGGATTGCTGTGGGGAAATTATCACTTTAGGCATAAACTTTCTTTGGAATATCCCTCTCAGCCTATGTAAACTTAAATGTATCTGGAGTGAAAAGAAATGATTCAGAAGGAATTTTTGCAGCATAGGATACTTGGCTGGGAAAGACTACCTTTGTAATCATGGCAGAACTAATACAGTTTCAAATGAACCCAGTAACCCACCCCTCCCTTCCCCCATATAATTCAAAGTCATACTTACTCAATAGTCATTCTGGCCACTGATTCAAGGGAGTTGTAGCCAGCTGCTGTGAAGTTATCCTTATATCTTTCCATCTTGATAGCCTGTAGCCATTCTCCCACAGAACAGAAGGTAGTGAAGTCAGGAGTATTCTGATCTAGAAGGGGACTAATTGGCCTAGTTGAAAGCAAAAGAGCAAGATAAACCTTGATTGACTAAATCAGGTGACAAAGAAGCCTACCAACACAAATGTATGGCAGAAATAGAATGAGGTCAGATATGTTTCCTTTGCTTTGCATATTTAAAAATCCAGAAAATTCTTTGCTAATATTTTTTCAGTGTAAAAGTTGTAGTCCCCTACATTTTCTTGTCTTTATTCAGATTTCAAGATTATTAGGCTATATCTTCTGAGTGTGTGTGTGTGTGTGTGTGTGTGTGTGTGTGTATGTGTTTAAGTACAGACTACACTATTTATATTCAGTAAATATTTGCTCAGCCTCTTCTCTGGAAGTAACTGGTAGTAAATTAAGCACATTTGGCGGTACACTAACTTGTTCAGGCCACAAGGGGACTATTTAGTAAATTACTCTTCCACTGTAGTAATGGCACCCTTGTGGGCTACATGAGTTAATACACCTTTAGAAGGGCCTAACTTGCTACTGACAACAGCCATGGAATACCAGGCTTACAAGGCAGCAGGGGGCTAAATAACAACTCCTATGTTACAATGCAGGAAAACAACTCATGAGAATGAATTGAGTGTCATGATTCTTCTTACTAAATAGATATTCCTCTTTCTCCCTTTATTGTATTGCTATTTATAAGTGTGTTCTTTGTACAATTACCTCAAGAGATGAATTAAAAACCAAAATAGTGTAGCTCAAATAGGGAAAGGAAGCAATTAGGGCAATGGAAATAAAATCATAAGTCAAAAAACTCAACTATTGAAACTCAGGATATTATCTTATCACAAAAAGCTAGTAGAAAACAATGTCTTTTAAGATACATCTAAGAAAGGACAATATGAGACATACATGGCAACTTCTCATGGGTGGAGGGGTGGGGAATGGAGACCAAGAATAATAGTTAGATTTAAATTATTTAAACAGGACAAGGTATCAAAAGAATATTTGGGAAATATTAATATAGTAAAACTAGCATTCATTTTACAAGCATAATTCATTGTTATAAGAAAACCTGAATTAGCCCAGTGCAAAAATTTTCCAACTTTTCAAATTCATGTCCCTGATAGAAACAGGCACTTACCTGCTACAGGTTCCCAGGGGTGTTTTCAAGCTATTTGGGTTTCTGATCATTTTGTCCAAAATTCCAACTATCTGTTCAAACTTTGGCCTTTCAGCACGATCCTTCTGCCAACAATCCAGCATTAGCTGATGGAGACCAGCTGGGCAGTCCATGGGTGCTGGCAAACGATAACCTTCTTCAATTGCTTTTATAACCTAATAGTGAAAATGGCATTAAAAACCCTGATTGACAACATTAAATGAGCTATCAGCATACAGTCAGATCATTAACAATGGTCAACATGGAATGGAACAATGTACAAAAGCAATACCAAGAGAATCTTTGGTAAAAAATGTTCCCCAAAATCAAGACAATATGGACACTAATATGTTAAGAGTGAAATAAAAACTTCTTTCAGGGTGAATTCAACAAATGGCAAAGAGCAGAAGTTTGCAGACATAAAATCTTTGCCATTCTCCTTTTTAAAAAGTTATTTCTTTTTGCACAACCATTTTTTCTTATGTTCTTTTTAATTTATCTAAATGCTTGTACTCATCAATGGAAGAAAAAATAAAATTTAAACTTTACAGACCCACATACTTATTTAATTTTGGGCTCTATCAAAATTAATCAAATAGAATATATTTTGTTTTAATAAAGATTTTTCAAACAACTACACTGTATTTCAGAACATTTGGTATATTTTATCCTCAACATCCAAGAATACTAGGGCTTCTCAAGCTTTTTTTGCGATTTGGACCCCTCTTGTACTTTAGCAAAACTATGGATGCCTTATCAGAACAATGTTTTAAAATGTATAAAATAATATACATGGGATTACAGAGAAACCAAATATATTGAAAAAAAAATAAATTGTTCAAGGACTTATTGTAACAAATATGATTATTATACCATATAACATATCAAATGTAATTATATTTCCTAGTCAGGTCAGCAGTAAGGGAGCTGTATTTAAGTTCATAAGGGATACGGGATACAGTAGATGGCAGTATTATTAATGGTGCCCCAGAGATTTTCAAAATAGAGAACATAATGGAAATGACTGACTTGAGTGCAAACAGGAAGCAAACTTATTTACCCATATATTTCCAAACTGTGCAAAGTGTAATAAAAAATTGTTACCTAGAATGATCGGTTTCATCAATTTTCCAAACATTTACAAAGATACTTTTTCAAGTGGGTGTTTTTAAATTGCCATGAAAAAAAGCAAGTGCTAGTAAGTCCTTTTTCACACTGGGAAAAATTCTCATTTTAGGAATCCAGAAACATCACAGTTAAAGTTCTTGTATTCTACTAAGCAATAGGCATAGATGACTTTATAGTAGATGCTGTGAGGCTTGGAATTCTGCATTCTTCCCTTTCCTTTCCCTTCAGCTAATCATTTTACCTTTATGCTAGATACCATTAAGACATCAGGATTCTGAGTTCAAGAAGGGGAGAAAATAATAGGACAAGATGACCAGTGTCAATGGGCAAGAGATGAAGATACATGGATTACAACTTCAGATCAATTCTTTCACACTTGACCATTTGGATTTATATGGAAACAAAAATGGGTTTCTAAAAAAAAAAATGAATCTGAATGGCAAAATATGAAAACATAGCTGGAAGACACAAAGGCCTTATTTTAAGGGCAAAAACATTAAATCACCCTTTACGAGGGTTTTAAAGAACAGCGACACTGATTGACATAACATCAAAATTCCTATAAGAACTGTGACCACTTGGACATCAGTAAGACACTGCTTCCAAATATTTGGGAAAACAAAGACCTGAAGTGAACAGAAATGTTGATTATGAGAAATGCTGATGAGCCTAGTACTAAAATGATCCTAATTTTTTTAAAATATGGAAAATATTCTCTGACTTTCAAGAATAAAAACATTATAACGTAAAAAGCTATTTAAGAAATTGAAGACAGCAGTTGAAATCAACAATTTTATAGATAGAAGCTTCTGTGAAAGGGGAAATAGAGAAAGAGCTTAGTTAAAAAGCACAATCTTCACTTTGACTAAAACCAGTGTCTTCATAGGTTTATGACTTTAGACCCATAAAGGACTTTTGAGGGTATCTAGTTCCTCCCCTCATCTCTTACTTTTGGAACAAATATACAGAAACTGAAGGCAAGAGAGGGTAAGTGATAGGTCTAAGGTCACACAGATAGTAAATGACAATACCATAATAAATGGCAATACCAGAGTATGAGACGCACCAAATTCTTGTGTCTATACATCCTTTCTTTCCATAGCATTATGTTACCTAAAACTTGAATGATACACAGAGAAAAGGAAGCCTTTACACTGAATCATATAAAGGGTGGAGTCTGCAACAATTATTTCATTAGTTGGGGATACTCTTGGTATGGAGAATCTCTTCCAATGCACATTAATAGTTCATCTGTAATTTATAGTTACAGTCACATAGCTAATATGTGGCAAATACTAGATTAATTTGAACCTAAGTCTTCCTAAATCCAAAGGTGGTCTTCTACTGTATCATGATGACAAAGATCCAGATAAATTTAGTTTGAGTGTTGGAAATTTAAAAAAAAATACTGTATAACTGTGCCTGAAATGATTCTTAAAATGAAATATAAACAACAATGCAGAAATACACTACATGGTGCCTATTTTGGTGGCTTAAATGAGTTAATGACCTATCCCGAATTTCCTTACTTATTAGAGATTCAGGTTATAGGATATTTTCCTAGAGGAGAAAAATGAGGAACATAGGACACTAGACTGGGATGCAGAATCTGACTTTTAGTTGGGTATATAATTTTAAATATGTGGAGCTCAGTTCCTCATTTGTAAAAGGAGAAGGGATAACAGTCTAAGATACTATTGTTTCCTATGGGGTAAAGACACTGATTTTATCCTGCCCCAAAATGAAATGTCAAAAAACTGAAGATGTGGATCTTATCTATATGTAACTATACATACCCAAATCTGGAAATTAGTTCAGGAGTCACAGAATCACAAGCTCTCAGAGTTGAAACTGCCTTTGGAGATCATCTAACCCAACCTATTTCTGAATAAAAATTTCCTCTACAATATTATGACATCCTCTAAAATGAATCATCTGGCCTCTGATGACCTCCAGCGATGGGAAAAACATCTGAAATACAACTCATTGAACTTAGGGGTGCCTATAATTATTAGAAAGTTTTTCATTACAATATCTACATTTGTGTCTTTTGCAATCTCTTTCAAAAAATTCTATTTTTTTTTCCTTTGGGGTCAAATAGAATGAAGTTAATACTCTTTCCACATGAAATCCCTTAAAATACTAGAAGACTTTTCACTTCTCTAATTTCCTTTTCCAGTATCCCACAAATCACAACTTCTGATTGCAACTGGAAGTAAATGTTAAGAAAGCCTGCCCTATTGGAGACCACTGAAAGTTTATTAGTATTAGAAAGGCACCAGGATGAGAGGCCATAGGAACGACTGAATTACAAAACATAGTACTAGTTCAATGTAGGTTTCCAATGCAGCAGCTTAAAATAGGAATAGGAAAAGAGAACATAAGAGTTAAACATCCCAGGAACTAAAAAGATGATTAATTTATGGATGGGGTATGCCCACAGAGAGGTACCTACAATTGTCAAGGGAATTCTGAAAAAAATCCTCCCTTTTGTCTCTTTTCGGTGGTAGAGGGGGAACAGCAGAAGGAAGGGATCAGAGTTAGAGCTGAATTACTCAAATGATTGTATGTGTATTTATTTGTCTGCACTGATTTGGACTTAAGGGTGCTAAAAAGTCAGCCAAGAAATTAAGGAAGCATTAGTTAGAGGTTTCCAAATTAGCTTTATTCTAGATAGTTCTCAGAGGACCCAGAAGTGACTAAGGTAATGACCTTTTTTTAAAAGGCCTTTGGGACACACAAGGACCAGTTCTTTTGACGTATGCTGTGAAAAAAATTTAGAAAATATTTTTTAAAATTACCTTGCTTGGAATAATCTTAGCACAATGACCATAAAAGTTATTGGGAGGTGAAGAAGAAAAAAAAAAGATTCAAAGTTTAAAATTTATTTCCATGTTTACATGAAAGATGAAAAATTCTAACTTAGTGGTTAGTGCTAAATAAAAACAGAAAGAAACCCAAGGACTACTTATTAATGAGAATATGAATTTAGTCATGAACTGATTATTTTTTCAAAGGCTGAAACTGACTACTAATGCAATATTTTAAGAACTGGCTAAGACCCTGCCCTTGTTACCTTTACTCCCATTTATCTTGTTCATGAAAGCTAGTCATCACAGAAACTATTTGCTGACCTAGTTTAAGTTTTCAATAACATTTCACTGGGAATTGGGGGAAAAGCAACTTTATTAAGTTTCCTTAACTGGAAAAAAAAGAACTTTTAAAAATCAGCAACACTGGAAGAGAAGGGGGTGGCATAATCAAGAAAAGAAATCATGAAAGAATATTGCTTTGAGTAACTACCTGGTAACTAACTACTAGGGATTAAAAAAGTATCCAAAGCCTATCCTTTTTTCAAAGTGAAAGGGTTCTATCAGAGGATCCTCAATCTGATGCTGGATAGGACCTTGATCATCTATCTAGTCAAAATTCCTCAAATGAAGAAAAGCAGGTCCAGAGAGCTAAGTGACTGATGCAAAATCACATGGCTAGTAACTGACAGTGTCAGGCTACAGACAGTTCTTCCAACAATAAATCTGATGTTCTTCCCCTCTAAACCACACTTTGGGGATAGTGGTTTTAAATGAGTCAGACTTTTATTTTATTTTTTGTCAGTCATTATCGAGGATATGGTCAGCATATCCTTAAATGACACATGATCTGTGCACAAGTGAGACTTTGGGTTTTTTGTTGTATTTTTTTTTTAAGGCAAGATCTTCTTGGACTTCTTCTCCAAGTTCTTTAAATGACTGTACGAAAGGAAGTTCTACCTTGAGATATTATTGACGTTGCTTCAACAGTCACTCAGTAAGCATTTATGAAGCACCTATTATATTCCAGACACTATACTGAACACAGGGAATACAAAGACAACCCACAGTCCCTGCTCCTGGAACCTATGGGGGTAAAAACTCAAATAAGGTTAAGCACTTAGTAAGAAAGAAAAACGGAGGCACTCCTCTAGTTTTGAGTACCTAAACAGGAGCATGGCTGCAGGGCAGCAGCTGTGACTAATTTCCCTAGGGCCTTCCTTTCTTTCATGCTGGAG